TTCTCACATACACGCTCAGGTGACTCCCTCCTTCCCTTCAAGGTCTACGGTAAACCTGTTTTCCGCACTCTTGGCCCCTCCAGGAAGCCCCTAGATCCCTCCAGGAAGCCCCTAGATCCTGTGAAGTCCAGCCAGTATCCATCTGTCAGGTACCTCCACCCAACACACTTCCTCCTGATTCTATCCCAGCTCCCTAACTGGCTAGGGTTCAAACCTCAAACCTGGGAGGAGACAGGGCTGGGCTCCAGTGTAACCTTGGACAAATTACTTTGAATGATTCTCAGTCTCAGCTTTCTTCCATGTGAAATGGTGGGAGCAATGGCAGTTCCTTCTTTGATAGCTTTGGGGATGAGATGGACACCAATGTCACATGTGCCCAGGCAGCATCCATTGTTATTAAGGGCTCTGGTCTCCAGGCAATCCAAGACACACTGGGATATCCATACTGCCTGTGAGGGTTGTCCTTTTCTTTGGTTTGTTTCCTGTCCATTGGAGGTCCATACTTTATGGTCCTGGAGGAGCCTCCCAAGATGCTGAGTGCCCTCGCAGCCATCCTTTCCAGGGCAGATAGCATGGGGGTGGGTGGCAGGGAAAAGCCTAGAGTGCAGCCCTTCTCCTCCATGATTAGTGCACCCTCATATCATGGCCTCTGCTGCCCCATCCTTCCAGTTCTTTCACATGCTTTCCTCTTGCATTCTAGGTATGAGGACTGCTTACAAAGTACTAGATCAGTGTGCTCCAGCCTGAGGACTGCCCTCATGCCAGTCTGCGGAGGTTGTTTTTAATTATGTTGAATGCTTACATTGTGCCAAGCACTTTATATCCTCTTATTTAATCTTCAGAATAGCCCTGCATGGGTACTTGTCTTATCTCCAGATTAAGAAACTCACCTAAAATCATGAAGTGTGTAAGTTAGCTTTTGCTGCATCACAAACCACCCAACAACTTACGATTTAAAACAGAAAGCATTTATTTTTCACCATTTTGTAAGCTGGCTGGCCTGGCTCAATGGGGGTAGGAAGGCCAAGGAACCTGGTATGTGTGAAAGAGGAGGAGTTAGTTCAAGGTCAGCTGGGTGACGGAAACATGGCCACAAGTCTCTCATGATTCAGCAGGGCCTGTACAAGGTGGCTGAGTAACAGAAGTAGCATGAAGGCAAGCAGGGGCACTTTCCAAATCTAGCTTGCGTCATATTTGCTGTTCTCCCATTGGCCAAACCAAGTCCCATGGCCAAGCCCAGCAGTATGGGAAGGGACTACCTCAGTGGTGGCACAGGGGGGAGAATTATTGCTGTCATTGGCCCGACAAGGAATGTACAATACATAGCTTATAAGTGTCCAACTGGAGTTCAAAACCAAGTTCGTTAGATCTGAAAGTTCAAAACTGTCTTGGGAGTTATTGCGCAGGGCCTGAGAATCCAGAATACTTCATGCATTGCTTAAACAAGTCAACAGACTTTTGCATGCACACCTGTAACTATTTTGCAAATGTATATACATAGTGCCATTAATAGACAAAAAATACACCTCAGTAAACATAGAAGTGTTTGTTCTGCTTCATTGCTTGTTTTCTTGTTTAGAGATTCTAAATATATTTGATTTTCCTTTGCTTACTTTTTATCACCTTCTTGCAAGTCTTTTGTATTATTTTCCTTACTTTTTTTTGCATTACCTTCCTTATTCTCCTTTTTACACTTTATTTCCCCTTTCTATGTTGTCTCTACTCTCCTGTATTCTTTTTATTTCCTAAATGCTTTTATTTCCGTTGCTAATTTTTTCCTGTGTCTGTCAGGGTCATTGTTTTGTAATCATGTCTAGCTGAATTTTGATGCTCCATGAATATTTCTGACTGAAAAAATAGAATTACCTTTTTTTTTTTTTTTCTGCATTACATTTTGTTTTCCCTGCAATTAATAATTTTTTTTTCTTTTTCAGTTGCCTAATTGTCTGGCCATTTTATTCCAGAGCTATTTTTCTAGTTGACGTGCTTTTCTCAAAGCTTTCATTACTATCTTATTTCAGCCCTTTCTGAAGTATTAGGGCAGAGTTTTAATCTGTTTTGTGTCTGCCTTTTTTCAGTGTCTTCCTGTCGAAATAGTTCATAGTTCATTTTTCTCTTATAATATTTTATGTGTGCAAGATCACATTCTCCTCCTCTTTTCCAAAATTTAAATGAAATGTGTTAACCCTGACCACTGGAAGGACATTTCTGAGGACAAGGGAATGGCCTGGGGTACCTTTCTCAGCTTCACAGCTCAGGGCTCCCTCTTCGTTACTGCAAAGGGTGCCAAACATGGTTACTTCTCTGCCTCTCAGGGCTAAGCCTGCTGCAGAAAATTCTACTCTATTTCCTATTGGCCTCTGGGTTTTGCCTATCAAAATACAAGATGTTGTATTTTGCTGTTATAGTCATTTCTGGGTTTTGCTTCCTCTGTGACCTTTTCCTGCTCCCTGTTTGAGCCTTCTCTTCTCCTTACTCCTAGTGTTACTTCCCTGCTTGATTTGGTTACTCAGCCTAGCAGGTTTTTTGTTTTGTTTTGAGGCAAGATTTTGTCCTTGTGAAGGGAATAGTTGCTGGGGTCTTGCTGAAATCCTCAGGGTGTAGATGACCATAACAGTAGTTGATTGCCTGGTGCTTCTGTTTCAGTTTTGCACTCACCAACTCAGAACCTGTGATGAGTTCTTCCAGTCTTGCAGTTCTTTTTAGACTTTTCCTGTTTAGTGCAAGGATAAATGATGGTTTGGGACAGGAGGGTGTCAATGAAGATGCAGAGAACTGGACAATAGGAGAGAGAATTCGATGATATAACCAGGAGGAATTACTGATAGGGTTGACGTAGGAGAGGAAGGGTTGAACACCTGATTCGGTGTTGTTAGTCTCAGAGATGGGGAAACTGGGTGGGGAGGAGGCGGGGAGGAATGACTGGTGATGAGGGAAGCAAGTACTCCTCTCCATTTCTAAGTGGAAATATCAACAAATGCAGTTGGATATGAGTCTAGAACTCACAGAGATCATCTAGTCTAGAAATAGAAATTTGGAGGTCATCAACTGTCTTAGACACTTTGAACTGCTGTAACAAATTACCATACGCCAGGTGGCTGAGCTAGCTGTCTGGCCTCTTCTTACAAAGGCATTAATCCCATTCATGAAGGCTCAATCCTCATGACCTAATTACCTCCTAAAGACACCATCTCCATATACCATGACACTGGGGATTAGATTCCAACATATGAATTTGAAGGGTTGGGAACATGTAATCAACAACATACAGGTAAATTTAAAGCCATGGGCCTGGGTAAGATCACTTAGGATGTGTGATTTCAGAGTAGTAGGCTAGGTCTGGTCCCCGATGCACCATATGTGATGATGCACTTAGAGGTAGGTGGGGGAGGAGGAACCAGGAAAGGAGCCCATGGGAAGGAGGAGCTATAGAGGTAAAGAAAATCAGGAGAATGTGGTGCTATGAAGGCTGGGGGAAGAGCATTTCAAAGAGAGATTGATCAACCAGATGGGAGGTCTGAGAGGCTGAACTGAATACAAATAAAAAATATCCATTGGATTTGACAATATGGAGGCCATTGGAGACCTTGACTGACAAGAACAGCTTCAGAGAAGCAGTAGGGACAGAAAATTAGGTGGAATAGGAGGAGAGAATGAGAGGTGACCAAGTATGTGGACAGCTGGTGTAGACAAGTTTTGACGTGAAAGGGAAAGGAGGTAGCTGCAAGAGGATATGGCAGTGAAGGGAGTTGTTTTTTATTCTTTGTAGAGGGGAAAGAGAAACATGTTTGCATACTAATGGAATAATCCAGACCTTGAGAAGGTGAGAGGGTATAGGATCCAGTGCATGAGGGGAGACTCGTTTTTAATAAGAGCAGGGACACCTTCGTTGTAACAGGAGGGAAGACTGAGAACAAAATTCTTGAGGGAAGTTCATAAATCTGGTGGTATGGCAGTGAGTTAAGGCCCCTTCTGAAGGTTTCTATTTTCTCACTGGAGTGTGAGTTGAAGTCAGGAGCTGAGAAAGGAGCCCTATGGGAGGTGTGAGTAAGGGAAAGGTTTGAGGAGAGAGAATATAAAAGTGGTAACGTGGAGTGGGAAACTTACTAAGGAAACTTGATGGATTGGAGGTTTGTGGTTATTTGTTTAAAATAAAATGGGTCATCTACCTTCTCTCTCTCCCTCCTCCCCTTCGTTCCTTCTTTGCTATTTGGGGCCCAGGGCAGTAGGAGCCCAAGCAAGGTGGTGTGACCCAGAGATGGGCCAGGGCTGAGTAAGGCAACAGCTCAGCAAGGGTAGGGAGATTGGTTCATGCAGGAGGAAGTGTTGAGGGGGATAGATATATTGATATATTTTATTATATTTATATATCTTTTAGTGTATAAGCTAAAAATGCTTTTAGCAAAAATAATTCTGAAGTTAATATTAAAATAGATATGTAAGCACATTGTGAATGCAGAGACTTTTCATACCACAGAATCTTGTTATCCAAAGCATTTTAGAGGTCAATCCTAGTCATATTTGATAATGAGGAAAATGAAGTTAAGTGACTCCTCCAAGTCACGTAACAATTTGATGTCATAGCTGAGATTAGAATTCTGGGATTCAGATTCCCAGGCCATAGTTCTTTCTACAAGATACTGATGCTCAAATATTTGATATACTTATCATAAAAAAGGGAATTATCAGAATGAAAGCATTGGTTAGGAAAGAATAATCTGCTAGCATTTTATTTCTTATGAATTCCTCTCTCTTCAATTTCAGCTTTTTGGAAAAATTGTCATCAATAATAGATTTCTGTCCTAAAAAGTGGGTTTAAATATGAATGAGCAAGGCATAGTAAAGAATTTTTACAACTGCAAAGTGTGACGTACCCAAAATATCTTGCCTCTTAAGTACAAACTGCTTAGTTATTTCTCTTCCACAAGAAAATCACTGTTGAATGGGAACAGATCATCAACACAGAACAACAAAATGCAGAAATTAGAACACTTTATTATAAATATTTCCAGAATATAAACTGATTTTGCATAGACTCTTTGAAACTTTAAAAACTATACGTAACTTTAGCTTATTATTATTATAATGAATTCCATTCTCCACTTTCCAATCTAGAAAATACACTGCAAGTTAAATCAAAAAGGAAAAAAAAATCAGTCTAAATTGTATCATAGAGAAAACTAATGAATATAAATACACCTCATCCAAAACTAAAACAAACCCAATCAAGAAACAGATTTTCCAAAGCCTATTAATACAGTCCAATTTAAAATAAATGACCTCCCAAGGGAAAAACACTTCTACTGTCATAGCAATTTGATGAGTAAAAGCAGAGCCACTCTCATTAAGGGAAATTATACCTTATACACGAAAAATGTAAGATGCATTTAGAAAATGAGGAAAAGTAATTTCCATGATGGAGAGTAAGCATATTAAATACTTCCTGTTCACTGCCTGTTGTTAGAAGTTAAAGTACCTGTTCACATGAAAAAATTGGTAAGAACATGAACATCAGAAAACCAGGACCTCAGCTATTTTTTCAATTTAACCTCAGGAGAACCAACCCAAGAGCTTCAAAATCCGAGGATAGACTGGTCCCAAAGCATCTCCTCCTCTGTCCTCTCTTTACCTTGTTCCTTTTTCTCTTTTCTACGCTTCCGTTCCTCTTTCTTAGAGGCTCCATCTCGGCTTTTTTTCTCCTTTCGATTCTTAAGCTTTCCTGTACTGATCCTGTCTGCTTCCATCTGTGTTTTGCTGGTCTGGAAGTTCTTCTGTTTATCTAAATCTATTTCCTCGCGACCTTTTTTTCTCTTATGCTTGGGCCGCTCCTCCTCTGGTTTTTCTCTGCCTTCTTCCAGGTTCCTTTTCCCCTTCTGATGTAGCTGTTTATGATGGGCTGGATGGCCACTGGCACTGTTTGCTGAGGAGAGGCGATTGTGAACTCCAGATTCTACACTGTATGAGCTATAGTTATACTCTCGCTGACTAAGGTTCAGGGGTCCTGGTTTCTCTGAGAAATAGTCCCTTGTGAATTGACAGTAGCTCAGGGAGTCTAGTCTTAGCCTGCTGTCATGAGCTGGTAGCCACTGAGGTAAGCGGTTTTCCACTTTTTGTGAACTAGGGCATGATCTCGGGTAGGTCTGCCCAGTTTCAGAAGAGAGTCTTTGATCAAACATTCTATACCTTGGTCGGTAATCAGCCTCTTCTCTGTATCCATAGGTTTCCAAACAGTTGTCTCTCATCTTTCTGAAACAAGTCTTTGGCTCTAAGCCTCTGGCTTTCTGCACTTTGATATAATCTTCAAGTTCATCTTGAAAAGAATCATATGTCTTCTTTGAATGCTTCATTAGGTTGACAACAAGGGATTCTCTGTAGAGAAGATGGGAGAAAATTCTTCTTACTAGATTATTTTATTCTGGATATTTCCTTTGCTCTTGAAGAGAGCTTCAAAAAACAAAACAAATCAGCCCAAACAAATGAAAACTGAATTTGGCATAAAAGTTAAATACCATGAAATTATATGTCAAAAAGGTGCATTAGGATAGTCAAATATTGGGTGCCTGGGTAGCTCGGTTGTTGGGTGACTGCCTTTGGCTTGGATCACGATCCTGGAGTCCCAGGATCAAGTCCTGCTTCGGGCTCCCTGCTCAACAGTGAGTCGGCTTCTCCCTTTGATCCTCCCCTTCTCGTGTTCTCTCTCTCTCTCAAATAAATAAATAAAATCTTAAAAAATAAAAGAATAGTCAAATATCTCCTAGGCCACTCAGAAGTAGCTTTTATCTTTCTCAGACATGGGATGAATGCAGAAAGGAGATGGAACATAGGGTTCTGTTGTATAGCTAAAAATTTAAGACATATGGGAATGTGTAGATAAGGACTACACATTCCTGACAAGTGGCCTGATCAAGTGCTCATATATTTTCTAAAGTTCTGATTTAATAAATTTCTTGTATATTGTTTTCTAAAAGAAGTAATAGAACCATATAGAAGTGATTTAATTTCTAAACTCTTCCTTTTACTCAAACAAAATAAAATAAACATACATACTTACCTGACTAGAGTACTATAAGACTTAATGTTTACAAAATAGTTTGGGAATGCTGGAAACTAGAAATTCAGCTATGAGAAGAAACTACTCTTTTGTATAGGGCATGAGAGAAGATGGGGGAACAGAGTTCCGTACCTTCTGTATAGGGCTTGGATTTCATTCTATTACTTCTGATTGGTGAAGAAAGCATTCTAGAATGTCTTTTGCTTTGTTCTCTAATATAAAGTACTGGTGGGAGGGTTAAGGGAGGAAATGGAGGTGAAAGCTGAGACAGTGTCAGACTGATACAGAGAAAAGTTTCAGAAGAAATATAAAGTAGATACACTAGTTTTTTTGTTGGCATGTTTGATTCTTTTGGTGGGGGCAGCACTATTCCTGATTTATTTCTTTCCCCTCCCTCAAATTCTACATGAGTGCAAATATAGCAGAAAACACTTACTACAAGATGATAATGCCCTAGATATTTTTGGTGACTTACTCTGTCTCCAAAAATTAGGAGGCTGCATAATCCATGCAGAAGAGTATATTTCTTCCCTTCAACAGAAATAAGCCTGACAATAGCACTCAAGAGTCATTAATGATCAGCTATCTTTTCTGGAAACTTGAGATTAAAAACAATGTTTAAATGAAGCCTCATTTGGTGAGTCAGAAAATTTAGCTCCTATTCAACTTAAATAGTGTAAAAATTCTAACTAGAAGAAAACAATTTAACAAATATTTGATTAAATATAGGCAAAAGATTTGAATAGGCACCTCAGAAAAGAATATATACGAATAGCCAATGAGCACATGAAAAGATACCATAAGTCATCAAGTCAATGTCCATTAAAATCACAATGAGATACCAGTATCAGCACTCACTAGAATGACTGAGATCAAAAGAATAACATTATCTGTGTTGGTGAGGATGTGGAACAGCTAGAATTCTCATACGTTGCTAGTTAGCGATATAAAATGGTACAACCACTAACAAAAGTTTGGTAGTTTCTGAGGAATTTAAACATATACCTACTGTATGATCTAATTAGTCAATTCCTAGATACTTCCCTGAAAAGAAAAGGAAATATACATCCATACAAAGACTGATACATGAATATTTATAGCAATTTTATCTGTAATACCCCCAGAAAGGAAAACACCAAAATGATGATCGACAGGTAAATGGAACTATCAAATAGTGGTATACCCATACAATGACATATTATCAGTGATAAAAAGGAATGAACTATTGATACAGTCAACAATATGGATGTATCTCAAAATAATTATGTTGTACATAATATATACATATGTACATATGTATATGTACACATTGATCTATGTTGATGGTGTAATTCTAAACTTTGTACATAATATATTGTACATAATATACACACATAATATATGATTCCATTAAATAAAACTCTAGAAAATGTAAACTAATCTATAGTAACAGTGTTTGCCTGGGGATGAGGCAGGAAGGGGTGGGTGGGATGATTATAAATGGTATCTTTGGGTGGGGTGCCTTGGTGGCTCAGGGGGTTAAAGCCTCTGCCTTCAGCTCAGGTCATGATCCCAGGGTTCTGGGATCAAGCCCCGCATTGGGCTCTCTGCTCAGTGGGGAGACTGCTTCCTCCTCTCTCTCTCTGCCTGCCTCTCTGCCTACTTGTGATCTCTGCCTGTCAAATAAAAAATAAATAAAATCTTTAAATAAATAAATAAATAAATAAATAAATGGTATCTTTGGGGTCTGGATATATGTTTACTATATTGATCATTTGAAGGTATATACATCTGTCAAAACCCATCAAATTTTATATTTTAAATATGTATAGTTTATTATATGTTAACTATACTTCTACAAAACTGCTTTTACAAAGTCACTAACAAGATTAAAATGATGTTGGGGCACCTGGGTGGCTCAGTGGGTTAAAGCCTCTGCCTTCGGCTCGGGTCATGATCCCAGGGTCTTGGGATCGAGCCCCACATCGGGCCCTCTGCTCAGCGGGGAGCCTGCTTCCTCCTCTCTCTCTGCCTGCTTCTCTGCCTACTTGTGATCTCTGTCTGTCCAATGAATAAATAAAATATTTAAAAAAAAAAAAATAAAGATTAAAATGATGTTGATAACTGTTGAAACTGGATGATGGTTATATGAAGGCTCACTATCCTATTTTCTCTACTTTTATGTTTAAAAATTTCTGATGCTTCATACCCACAAAGATGGCTAAAATAAAAAAAGGCAGATGACATTAAGTGTTGGCAAGGATGTGGAAAATTGGTTAATTCATTTCACTGCTTGTGGGGATGTAAAGCACACGGTTATTTTGAAAAATAATCTGGACTTCTGGCCCTGTGCACACAGGTCTGAGCCTACCCAGAGCCAGATATATGGTCACCAGGAAGTTCAACCCCTTTGTGATCTCAGACAGCAGCAGAAACCCCAAATGCCACTTCAGTGCCCCCTTGCACATGTGCAGGAAGATCCTGTCATCCCCACTCTCCAACAAGCTGTGGGGAAAGTACATCTGCTCCATGCCTATCCACAGGGATGATGAGGTCCAGGTGGTTTGAGGATACTATAAAGGTCAACAAATCAGCAAGGCTGTCCAGGTGTACAGAAAGAAATAGGTCATCTACATCACGTGTGTACAATGTGAGAAAGCTAATGGCACAAATATCCATGTGGACATTCACCCAAGCAAGGTGCTTATCACCAGGCTAAAACTGGACAAAGATCAGAAAAAAATTCTTAAACCAAAGGCCAAATTTTGACAAGCTGGAAAACAGAAAGGCAAATGTAAGGAAGACCTTATTGAGAAAAATGTAGGAATGAATATAACCTGTTGTGTAACCATAGTGTAACTGTAGATTTTTTAGCCTGGTATGTATTCCTTTGAAATTTCTCAAGATATCTCTATCTCTTGAATATTTCATTTCCTTCTTGTTTTCTTATTGATATATAGCTCTGTAAATCTACTTTTTCTGTTTTGATGAATACTTTTATGAATAACCACTGGAAATATTTCCTAATTAAAAAAAAAAAAGGAAAGAAAAACAATGTGGCAATTCCTCAAACGTTAAACAGTGTTGCTGTATGACCCAGCAATTTCATTCCTAGGTACACAATCAAGAGAACCGAAAACCTTTGTTCACACAAAAACTTAACACCAATGTTCACAGCAGCAATATTCATAGGAGCTAAAAAGTAGAAACAACTCAATGTCCATTAACTGCTGAAGGAATAAATAAGGCATGGTATCTTCATACAATGGAATATTATTCAGCAATAGAAAGGAATGGAGTGCTGATACACAGTACAACATGGATGAACCTTGAAGGCATGACAAGTGAGAAAAGTGTCCCCACAGTCCACAGATCATGCAGAGATCAATTAAAAGGTGAATGGGAACTTACCCTTCTCAGGCTGAGAACTTGGTGAAGAAATCTGATCATAGTCACCCATTAATTGCTTCAGTGTTCTAGCATGAACTTTCCCCACATGGCGAGACAGTGCAACAACCAGGAAACTAAAAAACACGATGCAGAGATCCCCAAATCGATTTTTGTCTAATACTCTACGCCCAGTCATCTGAAGCCAACTGCAATCTTGTTATATAGATTAAATAGTTCAAAGTTTAGAATTATACCATCAACATAGATCCATCATCTGAAAATTCACACATCTCCAATTTCTTATCATCTTACTTTCTATAAGTCTAAAAGTTAGGCTAACTCTTTGAGCATGTACTTTACCCCAGAAAAATAAATAATATTTTGTTTTAGAATAAAGTGACCCCAAATTTCCACCTCCAAATTTGCAGATAGACATTCATGACTTTTAGTTTATTTAGTCTGAACTAAGAGTGTAAGAAGCATTTTGCTCGCTTGCAAATAAGTCAGCTTCATAGAAATAATCCTATGATCTAGAAGATCACTATTTTCTACCTACCTCATAATGTGAAATGCTTTGCAATTCAAACTATATCCCTACTCCCCATACTCCTTTTATAAGGGGAACTGGAAAAGTTCAATATTTGTTCATTCAAAGTGGTACCTATGAATAAAATAAAGGGGGGTAAGATAGAAATTACATTAAAGATACATTAAAGGTAATATTTTCAATCTTTAAATAGACATCATTTCATATACCATCTCAAATTTAATTTCCTGGGTGCTTGCAAGGCTACATACTAGCTTTTTGCTAATTAGAATGAAATTTCAGTATGAAAACATTTAGTAAGCCTCTAATCTTTAATATGGTAATATATTTTTATTTAGTCCAGAAAATACCATTCTAAAAGAGAAGTTACTGGGTCACCAGTCTGGACTTTATTGAAAGATAGGACTAAGGGGGGCACCTGGGTGGCTCAGTAGGTTAGGTGACTGCTTTCGGCTCAGGTTATGATCCCGGAGTGCTGGGATCGAGTCCCACATCGGGCTCCCAGCTCCATGGGGAGTCTGCTTCTCCCTCTGACCTTCTCCCCTCTCATGCTCTTTCTCACACATTCTCTCTCTCTCAAATAAATAAAAAAATCTTAAAAAAAAAAAAAAAAAGATTGGACTAAGAAATCTGGCCTTGGCATTTTTGTGTTTTACAGTAGACAATTTCAAAGCATGCAGTTTAAGATAGTCTCTGATTCTAGCTATACCCCTAATGTCATTTGGGAATCACACAGAGGAACCACAAATCACTTTACCTGTGACGGGAAACTGTCCTCCACAGTTGGTACAAACATGATCACAAGCAAGGCTCACTAAACCAGGCTCAGATAAGCCACTCAAAACTATAGTCATGTTCACATATTAATTTCCAGAACTTTTGTTCAAAGTCTTTCTCACCAGAATAAATAATTTGTACCAAAATGACCACATTTATACCTGAGGTTTATATTACTATCTAAAAGCTCTTAACAGTTGAAATTTATTTTATGGAAATTTATCCATTTATAAATATGATATCAAAAATTGGAACATCAAAATTGTACTTCCTATGCAGCCATATAAATGAATGTATGGTCAAGGAGAAATGTCCATTATATATTAAGGGGGAAAATGATGATACCTATTTACCCATTAATTAATCTAAAATCCAATTTTAGTGTAAAAACACTCAACATACAGAACCAAAAAAACTAAACATATTCATATATGTTTATTGTAAGGAGGAGTTAAAAGAACTGCCCTGCAGCCCATTTACTTCCTTTCCTGGGGCTGGGGGAGAGGGTAGAAGGTAGGTGACTTCTGGACCTCTGACCAATGATATTAGCTAGGAGAAAAGGAACTTATATTTGAAATGTCCTTAGCAAGATGTCCCTGGCTAAGGATTATCTATAGTAAATAAATTCAGGATTTATGAGGCATAGCTTTCTGAAGAATGTCATGTGAGCTAGGAGGTATAAAATGGAGATGATTCATAATTTAAATAAATACTCCCACTGGGCGAGGTGACCCTCATTTAGAAATCTCATCTGTTATTTTGGGCCAGAGAATGCATGACCAATGTAGGAAAACATGGTTTGCGGAGCCATCTTTCATGTCCTAGATATCTCCGCTTCTTTAATAGAGTTGCGTGACCCCTTGTATCCTTGAAATACTTAGTAAACGTTGGTACTAGGTAATATTACTGATTTGTGTTAGTCTGATCTGACAGTCTAATCTTGTATATTGCAATATCCATAGGAAAAACATCAGAAAAGATATACACTAAACTTAATGGGGTTTGGGAAATGGGTTTAGGAAAGAATAGACAATACTTAATATTTTGCTCTCTGAACATGTCTGTATTGTTTTAATTTCTGCAAAAGCATTACTTTGTAATTGAAAACTCTATAAAAATTTAAATGTTCTAAGGGGATCTTCATATTAAGCTTAATTTTTAGTACCAGCATATAGATTAAAAAGGTTTGCTTAAAAATATTATGAGTTTGGGATGTTTCGGTGGCTCAGTTGGTTAAGCATCTGCCTTTGGCTCAGGTCATGATCCCAGTGTCCTGGGATCGAGCCCTGTGTCAGGTTCCCTGCTAAAACTAAACATATTGAACTTGCTTCTCCCTCTCCCTCTCCACTTCCCCAGTGCTCATGTGCTCTCTCTCAAATAAATAAATAAAATCTTTTTAAAAATTTGAGTTTAAGAACTGTTAATCAGAAACACTTTAGAAACGATGAATATTTAAACATGTTTATTATATATAATATCTCTCTGAATTATTTCTGAGTTGTTTTAAGGTATATAACTTAATTATATATGACTCCAAAGTTAAAATGAAAAAGCAAGCTATAAACTTGGAGAAAATATTCCCATCTCACATATCAGACAAAGGACTTATATCTAGAATACATAAAGAACTTTTGACTCAATAAGACAAATTCAAATTAAAATGGGCAAAAGATTTGAACAGATACCTCAAAAATAATTTATATATATAAATATGACTTGAAACCCTACACCATCACCGGAAATCATTAAAATTAATAGGACTGAAAATACCTAATGTTGGTAAGGATGCTGAACAACCGGACTTCTCATATGTTACTAGCTAGAATTTAAAATGCTATAAGCTTACAAAGCAGTTTGATAATTTTTTTAAACATTAAACATCTACCATATGACCCAGTCATTTTGCCTGTATGTATTAGTCTAAGAGAAATGAAAACATACATCCACACAAAGACCTGTACATGAATGTTCATAGCAGATGTAATAGCCCCAAACTGAAACAATCCAAATGTCTGCCAATAGACTGATAAACAAAATACGGTTTATCTATACAATATAATTATTCTGCAACAAAAAGAAACAAAACAGCGATATATAGATGATATGGATGAATCTCAAAATCATGCTTAGTGTAATACACAAGAGTACCTACTGTATGATTCTATATTTGTAAAAAGTTCTAGACATATAAACTAATCTATAGTGAGAGAAAGCAGATTAGTGATTGTTGGGAACAGGAGTAAGGGTGGGATGGATTATAAAGAGGCCTGAAAAAACTTTTGATGTTAACAGAGATATTTGGTATTTTGTTTACAATGGTTGCTTGGGAGTATACACCTGTCAAAAACTCATTTTCTTGTATACTTCAAATATGTGTATATTTTAAGTAAAGTGTATCTCCCATCCAAGTACTAACTAGGCCCGACCCTGCTTAGCTTCCGAGATCAGATGAGATCGGGCGCGTTCAGGGTGGTATGGCTGCAGACAGTAAAGTGCATCTCAATAAAATGTGTCAGAGGAGCTTAAGGATCTTTAACAGATGTTTTGGAAAAAGGAATAATTTTGCCTTAATTTGTTCAACTGGATTTTTAAATGTTGAGTTTGTTTTCAGAAAAATCATTCACCTAACAAAGGCCAACTTACCTACACAGAACTACTGCCAGTCATATTATGTCACTTAATCTCATTGCTCCTAGGGCCAGACATAGGGACTCTGGAGTCAGTGCTAGCACTTCTTAGCTATGTAAGCTTGGTTAAATTTCCAACCTTTTTGTGCCTCAAGTTCCTCATCTCTAAAATAAGGATATAATATATGCCTCAAAGAGATGTTGTGAGCCTTAAGGAAATGAATACATATAAAATGCTTAGAAGAGTATATGGCACATGGTAGGTGCTGAATCAATGAGCTACTTTTATTAATCCTCAGGATTTCATCTATTTAACTGACATAGTGAAATATTCTCCCACTCAATTATTCTCATAACTACAGAAAACCAAATAAAGATTATATGTAAACAGAGCAAGAGTGCCTGTCAAGAGTACCTAAATCTTTTTATTTCAAGCTAACTCATGTTTCAGAGGGACTTCTTAAAAATGAAAACTGAGGGGGCACCTGGTGCTCAATTGATTAAGCATCTGACTCTTGATTTCAGCTCAGGTCATGATCTTGGGGTCATGAGATTGAGCTCTGAGTCAGGCTCCCGGCTGTTTGGGATTTTCTCTCTCCTTCTGCCCCTCCCCCTGCTCTCTCCCTCTCAAATAAATAAATCTTTATTTTTTTAAAAGATTTTATCTATTTAAGAGAGAGAGAGAGAGAACATGAGAGAGCATGAGCAGGGAGAGGGGCAGAGGGAGAGGGGAAACAGACTCCCCACTGAGCAGGGAGTTTGTCCTCCAGCTTGATCCCAGGACCCTGGATCATGACCTGAGCCAAAGGCAGGTGCTTCACCAACTGAGGCACCCAGGCACCCCTGTAGTAAACAAATCTTTAAAATAATAATAATAATAATGAAAACTGAAGGTTAGACTTGATCATTGTCCTTTGTGATTATTCTAATTTTGAACCAATTCTTTGAAGATTTCAGTTTAAATTGTGTTAATGTGTGTCATGTACAATACTCAAAAGGGTATGGAGTATCAGGCAGAAACACCTAGGATACAAGCTAATTTTACTATTTATAGGCTGTATTAGGTCCCATCTCGAGTATTTTTTTAAGATGTACCTTCTAGTATTTTTGGAACAAATCTAGGAAAATTCTGAAATCTCTAGTTCCTATTTATACTTCACATATACCACAAGCCTAGTTATAGATGAACACCCACAGAGTACTACTTACTTGTTCATTTAGTTCGGGGAAAGGTACCATAGTGAAAAGAGCAAAAATATGGAATCTTTTATTTTGAAGAAATGAAACTATGTAGGTTATTCAGTAGCTGGAGGTTTGATCTTTTTTATTTCAGTAAAAATATGGAAAGTCATTGTGAAAGTTAAATAAATACATCATATATCAACTATTGTGTTAAATATGAAACACATGAGTAATATGAGTTACTCTTAATTCAAAATTGCCTAAAACAGCTTCATATCTTAATAAAAAAACTAAGAGCCACTCAAATTCTAGAACTGTCAGAGAGAATTTGCTACATTCCAACCACCCATGTAGAAATTGTCAAACTTGAACTTCTGCATTGTGTAAAATGTTTTTAATAAGTCTTGGGTTTGGTGAATAAATCAACTGAATTTAAGTTAAAAAAAATCTAATAAAACGTTTATGCCCCACAAACACATTCCAACCACCCATTTAGAAATTGTAAAACTTGAACTTCTGCATTGTGTA